TTTTTCCCTGAGGAGCTGTTTTGTTTGGTGTTTGTAGTTCTAAAAATAAAGTTAGTTTCTTTTGACAAGTGGCTCCTGATTTGTGCCAAGCCAGACTTCGGCGTATAGTATAGTTCCATGATTTTCTCAAGTGCATGCAAACCTGTAACCACCATGATTATCTACAATAAAGATTTTTATTATTGCTCAGTGTTCCTTGTCCTAGCTGTATGAATGCAGTGTTCTGATTCCTGCTTTTAAAATTCCATATTAAACAGATAATAAAGTTTGCTTTTTATTTTTACTTTCTTTGTCTCAACATGTTTGTGAAATTCTCCTAAGTTTTTTTTTTTTGTATTTTTTCATTGGTAGATTCAATTTTTTATGTAATTGTGTTTCATTGTAACATGATCTGTAACAAGATCTGTTTATCTGATTTGTTATTGGGCAAGCTTTGAATTATTTCTGTATCTTATCTGTTGTGAATAAAGCTTCTTCTTTTACATGACTTTTTGTGTAAGTCTGCATCTATTTTTCTTAGAAATGTGCTCAGGAATGGAATGTATTCACACCACAGTATTATAGAGAATAGTATTAGTGCCCTAAAATTTCTCTGTGTTTCAGTTACTATCATTTTCTTCCTGAAAACTCCTGGAATTTACTGATTTTTATGCTTTTGTCTTTTACAAATTGTCATAAGTTGGGTCCTACACGGATTTTTCCAATGTCATCTTACCATTAGTAACGTGCATTTAAGATTCCTCCATTTTATTTTTATTTATTTATTTATTTATTTATTTTTTATTGGTTGTTCAAATCATTACAAGGCTCTTGACATATCATATTTCAAACATTAGTTTCAAGTGAGTTATGAACTCCCATTTTTACCCCAAATACAGATTGCAGAATCACATCGGCCTGTTGACATTTCTTTTTATTGCAGAAAATATTCTACCACAGTTTATTCTTCCATTGAAGTACATGTTGAATGCTTCTAATGTTTGACACTTAGGAATAAAGTCTTTATTTGGCCTCTTGTGTGGGTTTTTTGTGGACATGTTTTCAATTCATTTGTGTTAACACCTAGGAACACTCTTGTTGACTTGGGTGTTAAGACTAAGACCTGTCTTGCAAAGTGGCTATCATTCTGTATTTAACCAGCCATGAATCAAAGTGTTCCTATCATTACATTTTCTTGTGAGCATTTCAAGTTGACAGTGTTGGTGAATGTTGTCCATTAATATGTGTGCTGTAGTGTCTAATTTTTAAATGTTTTCTTCCCTATCAATTAAACAATGTAAACTCCTTGATTGTACTGACTTTTATTTGTTCACTGTTGAGTCCTCAGACATAACACAGTATGTGGCCCCAAATTGTCACTCAATAAGTACTGATTGAAAGAGAAAATGAATGTCTCTCCAGGGGTGGTAAAGAGTTGTCCATCTCCATCTGGGTAAATTTTATACAAGTTAACATGTTAGAAAATTTATTGAGTTTGGAAATTTAAGCCAAATCCTACATTCTAGCTTTTGTCAATAATGAAGTCCATGTGTGATGTCTGTAATATGCATACATATATTTGGTCAGGGAAAAGGGAAGGGAGAATTATTATTTATTGGCTCCCTAAAGCCAGAATCACAAGTTCCATAAAAGATGAAATAAGTAGAAATTTTCATTTTAAAAAATTTAAACTAGACTTATGTTAAACTGACACATACATCACCAAATTGTGCATATTATGGGCTACTATGAGAGGTTTCAATATATGTATGCATAGTATAGTGTCAAGTTAAACATATCTGTCTCTTCAATCATTTATCAGTTCTTTATGTAAAACACTGTCAAATCTTTTTTTTAAATTCAAAACAATTTTTTTTAGTTGTAGATGGACTCAATACTTTTATTTTATTTATTGTTATGTGGAACTGGGGATTGAGCCCTGTGCATCACACATGGTAGGCAAAAGCTCTACCACTGAGCCACAACCTCAGACATCAAAAATTTTTTCTAGCTTATTTTTATTGATGCGTTGTAATTGAGAGCACAAAGTAGTGTCTGCTTTCCAGATCGGAGCTGTGCTGCAGATGTTAGCAGAGGGGCAGCCTGACAAGTGAAGATGCTGCTGACTTCCCAGCAGAAACCTGAGAACACTAGATGTATACATTCCCCTATTCAGTCTCCCAGATTCATGAGGTAAAGCTGTTTTTATAACAAATTTTCTAAAAATTGTTTATCAGAAGTAGTATTACCCAATCTGTCCTAAAGGAGAATGCATTAGTGACAGATAGTGGGAGTTTACTTCATTGCAATACTAAAATCTCCATGCAGGGAAAATCCAAAGGCTCATTTCCATAACATAGAAAGTCTGAGGAAGCATGTTGTCAGACTTCCTTGTGCAGGAAAGTCCCCACCCACGTTTGTGATGATGACTTCTCTGGACTGGGTCATGCATTCCCTGCCAAATAAAGTGCAGCTTGCTCTGGCATCCAACAGGGCTTTGGTAGCAATTCCCCATTTGCAAACATATTGGCTCCATGCATCACTGTTTTTGGTGTATGTTCTACCTGGATTCTCATATAGAGTTGGATCCATTAACTTGGGTCACACAGTCATTTTTCAAGGAAATGGAAGAATTGTGATGCTGTGTGTACAGGGG